CCATTTTGCCTTTTTGCATTTCTTTTTCTTGGGGATGGTCTTGATCCCTGTCTCTTGTACAGTGTCACAAACCTCCATCCATAGTTCATCAGGCACTCTGTCTATCAGATCTAGTCCCTTAAATCTATTTCTCACTTCCACTGTATAATCATAAGGGATTTGATTTAGGTCATACCTGAGTGGTCTAGTGGTTTTCCCCACTTTCTTCAATTTCAGTCTGAATTTAGCAATAAGGAGTTCATGATCAAGGTAGGCATATAGTCCACTTTCACTTTCAAGTTATAACTGGGCTTCCCTAGTGGCTCAGATAGTAAAGAATGCCCACAGTGCAGGAGACCCAGATTCAATCCTGGGTTGGGAAGATCCTCTGGAGAAGGGAAAGGCTACCCACTCCAGTATTCTGGCCTGGAGAATTCCATGGACTATACAGTCCATGGAGTCACAGAGAGTTGGACACGACTGAGGGACTTTCACTTTTCTTTCAGAGAGAGCTTGGACTAGGGTGGCAGTGAAGGTGCAAAGAAGTCATTGGATTCTGGATATTTTGGAAAGTACAGGCAATAGAATTTTCTAATGGATTGGGTGTGAGATATTAGCACAAAGAAGGAGTTGTCTAGAATGACTCTTATTTAGATTTTTGACTTGCATGACTGGGAGAATTGAATTTCCACTATATATTCTGGGGAAGACTGTAGGGGACAGGTTTGGGGATAGGACATCTGGAGATAATCAAGTTGGGTAAACATGTCTGGAATGTAGAGATGTTCAGTATGATTTTATCGCTTAATAGTTAGGGGACCTTAGATAAGTCATATAACCTCTATAACCACAGTTTTCTCATCTGTGAAATAGAAAATAATAACAGTATTACTGTACCAGGTTGGTGGTGGTGCTAAAAATTCAGCCTCTGTGCCGTGGTGCTGAATCAAATCTTGGAGACAGTTTTGGGGAAAGGAATAGCTGAAAAGGAATAGCTTTATTGCTTTGCCAGGCAAAGAGGGACACAGGAGGCTCATGCTCTGAAAAAAACTGTGTCCCAACCCAGGGAGATTTGGTGAGTTTTATAGGAATGGTTCAAGGGCAGGGTTGCTGATAAGGATCAAGGTGTGTGCAGGGCTTGTACTCCTTTTATCTGGCCTTAGGTGGTCTTCTCTTGGTCTTCTAGAGGTTAATCAAACTATGATCTCCTCTGGGATGAAGAATGCTAACATCTTCCACTTGTTGGAGGTTTTAATTATGTAGAAGGGCTCAAAGATTCTATGTTTTGTCTCTTGAGGTGGAACCAGGACCTTGTCCCAAGACTGCTCTTTGTTTCTCTCTCTCTCTTTTCTAGTTTAAAATAATTTTTTATTGCCCAGGATATTTTTTTGTTGTGTCTTGTTTATTTTCTTTTTTAATAAGTATAAATTCAAACTTGCCTTTGTCTTGAAAAACAACAAAGCTTTTACATCACTTGCTAACCTGGTCTCATTTAAAAAGAAAGAAATTATCTTGCAAGAGTAAAATTTCTATC